CAGGCAGACAATACAGGTACATTTAAAGAAGCAGCCAGTTAATGTCCTACTGTCTAAAACATTCACCACTGTTGTAGATGAGATTTCAAACCACTGTGGATAAGCAGAGAATTGAGGATTCAGGAAGATGTGTACAGTACATACGGATTGTGTGTGTGTGTGTGTGTGTGTGTGTGTGTGTGTGTGTGTAATCATATTCACTATATTGCTCAAGAAATTTCTGCAGTTAAGTATGCAATGTGTTCAGTGATCGTCTTAGAAGTAGTGACTCCTCCACACAAGTCATAATGAATGAGAAAGGAATCATACATGAACACCAGAGAAAAGCCAGTTATTCTAGGAGAACAACATAATGACATGCATAGCACATAAAGCTAACAGCAAACTGTCATTAGCTTCTAGAAGGATCAAAGAAAAAGCATAGGACAGCTTATGGGGCAAAACACACTGCAGGTAAACAGAGAACACTTCCAAACATTCATCTCCACTCTCCACACTAGACCCCTGGGAAAAGGTGGTTTCTATTTGGATTAAATATCCGGTCACCCATTTACAAGTAAGTAAGCGACTGAATAGTGTTTATTGCTCTAAGTTCTGAGGGTTTTGTGTGGTTGAACATGCTCTGCCCCTATTCATGGTGGCTTCCTAGTATGAAGCCATCTTCCTGATATGAAGCAGCCTTCCTGCTTGTTTAAAAAAAATATTTTGTGAGTGTCACAAGCTGATCGCACACATGTATGCATGGGCACAGGAAGCACACAGTCAGGAGTGCAACCAATCACCTTTGAAGACATTGATAGTTGGCCTTCTCAATCAATTAAAAGTCAACAGCAATGGGAAGTCCCATTTATCAAAACTGGTGGAAACATTTCATGCATTAGTGTTCAGGGAACAGAATGAAGACCATCAAGACAGAAAATAGCAGTCGATTAGTATTTGATTGTTGGAACTGCTTTTCTGTTCCACAGTACAAGGCTGCCCTTGTGGGGTTCTACAATACAACTTTGTGAATAAGAGGTGGCCCTGTGATGGTATCTAAAAATGTCTATCACATATGCACACATATATATATGGATGGAGAGAGAAAAAGAGAGGAGGGAGATTTCAGTCTCCTTCTACACTCAAAGTGTGAGGCGGTTTTGTCACCTGATGGACAGGGACAGGTTTCCCATACCAAGTTCTCTTACAGCAGTAAGAAGCTATGTAACTCTGCCAAGCATGTATTATGGGGCAGGAGACTCAGAATCATTAGCTACCCTGAGCTGACTTTTACGGGAAGTGGGGTATGAGAATGAGAACAGAACTATGGTTCAGAACTGGATGGAGATGTGGTCTGTCATGAAGGGACTCGTCTGTCTTCAAATGTCAGTTCTTGCAAGAAAACAAACAAATAACCCCACAAACCAAAACAGCTAGAGATGTAGGATAGGAGTTGTTTTGCATAACAGGAGTTTGCTCCTGGAGGAGAATGCAGGGAAAAACAAAAACAAAAACAAAAAACAACCCAAAAAAACAACAGCAACAAAAATCAATTTGTTTTCTAGCTCTGAAAGACTCTCTGATGCTGCTGCCCATTTCACTGATAGGCCTTACTGCTGGTTTAAAAAAGTGAATTCATAACATAGAATTTGAAACTGTATTTGGGCAGTGGTGGTGCACACCTCTAATTCCAGCACTAGGAGGAAGAGACAGGTTAATCTCTGTGAGTTTGAAGCCAGCCTGGTATAGAGTGAGTTCCAGGACAGGCTCCAAAGCTACACAGAGAAACCCTGTCTAGAAAACAAAAAGAATTTGAAACTGTTTAAAATTTAAATTATGTTTCCCATTTTTTTTTTTAATTATTAGGGAAACAGCAAATGGGCTGCAGTTTGCTCCTTGACTGGTCTATCACTTCTGAATTCATCTTTCATACACACTGGTAGAACTTCACACTGCCTCAGGAGTTACAAAGAATTCTGAAACACAGGAATTTTGAACTCAACAAAATGAGACAGTGAAGAGTTCACACAGACAGACAGACAGACACACACATATACACACTTCTCTACAGTTCACTTGTGCCTTGGAGGGATAGAATTATCATCATTCTTTCTAACAGTAAGAACACATTTTGTCCCAGTCCACTGGCCACCCTGTTTAAGAGTTTTAGAAGATCCCTGAGCACAGTGTTTCTGACTCTCAGCCCCAACTCCAGACAACAGGGCTCTGTCCTTGACACCAAGATGGATTGTCATTCACAGTAAGTCAATCATAAGGTGCGTTATTTTTCCCCTTTCGTTTTCCACCAGTCAGCACAAAGAACTGTCAGAAAATAGCTTTTTATTATTATTAATAATAATAAATGTTATTTGAAAATAATAGTACTGGAAAGACATGACTCAAACAATCGGTGTTTGAAACAGTGGCTTTAGGCTGATTATCTGGCTGCCTCTCAACAATAACAAGTGATTCGATCGACATTCCTTAGCCAAAAACAAAAAGGAAAATAAGCCCCAAAACAAACAAAAAACCAAAACAAACCCAACAACTGTACAAATATGTGTTTTTCCCTGAGGGATCAAAGTACACCCGCAAGTGCTCTATGTACAGATATTGCACTAGGTAGGAATTAAAGACGTGTGCAAAAAAGCAACAAGGAGAGACGCTTGCATTCTACTGAAACCTCCTCAACAAGGCTTCTTCTAAGTTGCTTTGCATTTTGGAATGTCGGAACACAAACAGCCATCCCTTAGTCTAAAACTAAAAACACATACATCTACTATGGCACATTCAATGAAATAAAAAGTTTTCCAAAGACAGATAGGCAAATTCCATCAAGAAAATAATACAAAGTTTGTTTGTTTGTATTTTTTTTTTTAGAAAATTACATTACTTTCTTTCTTTGTTTCACATTACAAAATCTTTTTTTTCTTTACACAAATCACATTTTATTGCAGGAATATTTCTAGTGCCATCAAATATTTATAGAAGGGTTAAAAAAATAGAAGTCTCTCTAGAGTGGTCCAGACAAGGCTTTGTATAGAATAAATCTTTTTTTTTCCATCTTCTAGTTTTGATTTATGTATTTTGAATACATTTTCTTTTCCATTGACACTTAGTAGCCTAGAAGCGGTCTAACACACGCATATCATACACATAAAAGCCACACACACACAGGCAAATACACTCTTTCCTCCCCTGACCCTCAGCCCACCCCCATCCACTCACAGAGATCTGGTATCCACTCGCTAAAGAACAACCAAACTTAGAAGCAGTGTCTTAGGTCATGTTTTCCTAAAGTTAGGAAGGGTGAATCAGGATGTGAAAGACTTTGGGAAAAAAAAATCCATGGAATTAACACAAATTAGAATGGTGAATGCTTAAAAAAACAAACAAACAAACAAACAAAAAAAACTAAACCCATAGCCTTAGCACAATTTGTGATCTGTCCACAAAGTGCTTTCAACTGCACTTCGGATTTCATGGTGGCCAAGGCCAGTTTCTCCTGATGTTGTTGGATCATTTGAGTATCATAGTAACAACATTCAGATTTTGTACAAAAGTCTCATTTACCTTCTGTAAAAAATAGTTATCTGACGGCATTCTAGCAGCTGAGCACACAATACTGTTCAGTCCCCAGGAGACTGTCGAGGCTTTAAGTTCAGGCAACTTTAATGCAATGAACTATTAAGCTTCATGATTCTGTGTCATTGACCATCTTGTGACATATCACACAAGCGGTTCTCACAATAAGGAAGAAAAGAAAAATGCCAAAGGTTTTACATCCTGTTCTGGACTCCCTGTGACTCTCCACTTAGGTGCAAATCATAGTCAGTTGTCCCTCAGTTTCTCAGAGCTCGTCCATCTCTATGGCTCCATCCCTATGATGTCAGAGGATTTTGCTCTGAAAGCCTACTTCCTGCTTTTCTTTCAGGAACACCTGGAAACAGCATCACACCACTCGCCCCTGCTGTTTGTAAAAGCAATGTCGCCACGGCATGGTACTGAGACCGGAGTTTTCTTGTGTTTGTTTTGCATTAGGTACATGCAGAATCCTTTCTGGGAAAATGAATTTCTCTGAAGTTCAATGTCACCTTCTCTCTCACCCTTAGAGAGGTTCAATCAGCTTGTCTTATTCACAGGTGGACACTGGAATTCGGTTTAGTTGCTCTTTAGTGCGCTAGCACCTGAGGCTGGTCATATGCAGAAAGCTTTGGTTAAAAAGAAGTTAATATACTTTACTAAAACCATCCCCAAATTTAGTGAATCTGAACCAAAAAAGAAAGGAAAAACGAAAACCAAACCTCACACCATTCCCTCACACAGGAGAAACAACAGGAAAAAAAAGGGCAAATAAATAACAAAACTGTACTCTTTTCAGAATATAAATACTATTAATCTTTAAAGGAACTATGCTTAAATAAAATTTTGATTTACCCCTTCTTGCCCAATATAAATACTATATGCTGACAGCTAACCTCTCTATATAAACACATAAAATTTTCTATGCTTGTAAGAAATTTAAGTAAATATTGCTCTCCTGTTTATGATTAAACCCTTACTATGTCTCTGGAAAAAAAAAAAAACAAAGATCAGATGTCATTTAGGCTTCACCCATACATTTCTGTACAAATATTTCCTTCCTACTTTCCAAGTCCCTTAGTAAATAAGGCAGAAAGTCAGTGAAGTTGAAAATTGTGAAGTACTCTGGGAAGCTGGCCCTGGTAAACCCATCCTATGGACATCAGCAGGAACAGAAATGTTGGCAAAAGATTCTAGAAGGACCCTAGTAGCAGAGGAGGCTATTGGATGTATAGGATTTTGAAGAAGCACCCAACTTTGTGCCATGGAAGATGTTCCCTTTTCCTTACAGATACGGTCTTTGAGGCCAGACCAGTATCTTGTGACCAAAGTCATTTCCCAAATGCCTCCTAATTTCTCAAAAGGGCACTTGTTTTAAAGGATTTATTGATTTTTTCTATGTCCGTCTCTCTCATTGTGTGTGTGTGTGTGTGTGTGTGTGTGTGTGTGTGTGTGTGTGTGTACTCACACCCATGCCCACACCCACAGAGGCCAATAGGGAACACTGGTATCTTGGAGCTGGAGTTACAGGCTCTTTTGAGCTGCATGATCTGATTGCTGGGTTCCAGGCTTTGGTCCTTTGATAGAGCAATAGTGCTTTTGACCATTGAGCCATCATCTTTCTAGTCTCAGGGCATTTGCTTTCAAAACATGCACACCTATGAACATGAGACTGTTCCTTCCTCTGCTCACTGGGGATTATTTTTAAATGCAAATTTAATCAAGATTACCTCAATATTTCTTACCTGAACACAAAAGCCAAACTATTTTCTAAATATTTAAAAAAATAAATTACAGTCCACAGTTTTCTAGTGAAGGATAAACACACGAGAAAATGTCTGCAGCTGGCATCACCTTCACTCTGAAGGCTTATTTTAAATACAGGAACCAGGTTCAACACTGCCTCCCTCCCTCTTCATCCACTGTCTACCCAATATGGACAGCAGCATTTCTAGAATCTCGGACAGCTAGTCTAGGGTCAGTTTTCTCTGAGATGAATTCTTAGGGCTCCTGATGCCAAGAACATAAGGCATTCAATGACTGTGGGGAGTGTGTTTGCTCCACATAGAGTCTTTGGGTGCTTCTAAATAAGAGCTACAGTCCAATAAACATTCTGGTTACTAATATGTTCTAAGCATCAGAATTCCGAGTTGATACTGTGTCCCTGTGACTACTGAATTATGTCAAATGAAAATCTCTCCTCCTTCACTTCCCAAAGGTGGCATATTAAAAACTTAAAAAAATGCACATATGGTTTAAGCCCACAGCACCAGATACTCTTTTGACTCTGTATGAAGCATAAACACACCCATTCTTAATTGCATGCAAAACAAAGTATGATCCGTTAATTCCAAATTTACAGGTGGGAAAAGAATTCAACATGTTGATTTCTGGATATGCCCAGCCAGTCTTTCAAAAGTAATTTTTTTTTTGTTTTTTGTTTTTCTTTTTTTGTAAACAGCAGCATAAATACCTCCCGACGTACCTTCCAAGCCTTCTCAGCTAAACTTGTGTTTCTGGTGTACATGCGACACGGCGACAGTGAACACGCTAGCATTTAATTTAAAGAAAACAAAAGGTGCAAAACGGAAAGTGCCTTATCAATTCAACAGGAAAAGCTACGCCAGTCACTACATTTTATATTAATTAAAACAATATATAAACAATATCTCTTTAGCTATATATAGTCTTCATGCCCATTTACCCTGTGTAATATATTATAATGCTATTGTTGCGAGCGCTATGGATCCCCTTTTCACGCCATCCCGCTGACCGGCAATAATCGGTGAGAGAAACAAAATCTTCCTTCATGACACAGAAAAGCAAGCTGTGCAAAGTAACGCTGCAACCCCCGCTATGCATCCCGGGGTCACCGATTACTGCTGGACTCTGTTGTTACCCGTAAGAGTCTGTGGGCAGTGAGCTATAAGAAAAGGGACTTCTCTGACTGTAGTACCCTCCACTTGCAGAGGTCAACCGCTTTAGAAGTCGAGACAGAAAAGGGTCCGTATCTGTAGGCATAGTGGAAACCATATGCATGAGCAAAACAAGTTTAGCTTTTATTGGTTCTCATTGTTTTCCCTCTGTGCCTGAACCCCGATCACCACAAGATGTCTGTGCAGTGTGTTGGCGCTCCAGGGCTGTGCAGGGCCATAGAAAGTGTCTCAGTTAATTTTGTCTTCGTTGTCATTGTTTTATTTCCTTTTTTTTTTTCTTTCATGTTTGTACTTCAGTTGTTCTAGAAGTGCTCGGGTACTACATTTACCCATCAATTTGCATTGCTGGCTCAAATTCTGAAGTGAACAATTCCTTGTATAATGGAGGAAAATGGAGTCGCACAATGTCTGGGTATATTGCTTTAAATGCCATTAGCTTTTCTGTATGTCGTCCACATAAGGCTCTTAACGTAGACACCTTGCATATTAGCTGTAAGCAGGAGAAAGGACAGGATGTCAGGGGAGGGCAGTCATAAGAGTGAAAATCAAGGACTCAGGATGACTTCCACAACATTGCTCATCATGGCGAAGACACATTTACTGCTGCTTAAGCCTCCAGTGAGGGGGCAGGGAGAGATAGATAGAGGTCCTATAGTAGGACACTTGGAATACACCAGATGCATTTTGAATATGAATAACTTAACTCAAAGAGGTATTCATATGCAAATTTGCCCCCCCCCCATATCGCAGGGAGAGATAGATAGAGGTCCTATAGTAGGACACTTGGAATACACCAAATGCATTTTGAATATGAATAACTTATTCATAGAGGTATTCATATGCAAATTTCCCCCCCCCCATATACCCAGAGCCCAGGTGAGGTTCTGGGCTCCTCCCTAATCCAGAGTGCACCATCTGGAGCCCTCCTGGCTGTCTCAGTGGGAAAACAAGAAGTTTGCTCACAGAGAAGTAGGTGAGTGGCAGTCCGGGTTAGAAAGGGCACTACAGCTAGAAAGAGGAGTACCTATTATACACAGTATACAGAATGAGTGTAAGTCAATTGCTTTTTGTTTTTAGAATGCCATTTATTTATCTCAACTCTGTGTGTGTGCAAGTATGTTTATATGCTATGTGTGTGTATGGGCAAATTCTCGGAGTCAGTTCTCTTCTTCCACCATGTGGGTCCTGTGGGGGGTCAAACTCAGATCAACTGGCTAGTGTCTTGAGCCTCTTAGCCATTCACCAGACCAAATGAGTAAGTGCTAGGGGTGATTTTCTTCCAAAGAATGAGCTTTTTCTACACTAAGGGTCTCAGCGAATGAAAGTCTAGCAGATGAAGGTAACAGCAGTGACTTGCAGAGATGTTTGTAAACCCTGCTGCACTACACAAAGGCAAGGCGTCTCATGGTTGCAGATCAGAGTCACTGTCACTAGGCAACAGCTTCACCAGATCCTGTTGAGTCAGGGTCTCTCTGATGGCCTTATCCTTGAGCAGCTGGGGTCTCCCCTTTCCCTCTTGCTCACTGGCCACGTACAAAATCAAAAACCAATTTCAACACTCTGACCTCCCCAAACCATCAGGAAAACAAGAGAAGAAATCTGGAAGGAAACCCAAGCACTAAACGTTCCACATCACCTTCTTGCAAACTACAATATAGCAACTGAGCAAAGAATGGAAATGGATGCTTTTCTAACATCAGAAGCAACAGCACTAAGAGATTTAGCGTATGTTTTAGCTGTAAAAGATAATCATCAAAAATGAAGCCTCATGCTTTTAATAGAGCACAGAAATAAGAAAGTGATAAGACACAAAAACAATTTATTGCTGATAACTAATGAATTTAAGAGAACCGATATTAGAATGTATGGTTATCGTTTTCTTAATCCTTTTCTGCTTCCTCCTTCTAAATTCAAAGGTCCTCCACTTTACATCAGTGCATCATGTTGACCCTACTTTATGCTTATGTTTAAAGAACAGGAAGAGGTTCCTGAAAGGGCTCGTTCTTTAAGGGGAAAAAAAGTCTTCCTGGGGCTGGAAAAATAGCTCAGTGATTAAGAGCACATACTCCTCTTGCAGAGGACCAGAGTTCAGTTCCCAGCTTGAAAGTTTACCAGGTCACAACTGCCTCTAACTTCAGTTCCAGATGATCTGATGCCCTCTTCTGGACTCTCTGAACACTTGCATGACACCCCCCCCCATACACATAATTAACATCTAATAAGTGATGTTTTCCCAGATTGCTGTATTACTGCAGGAAAGTCTGTGATCAATTATAATAAATAGAGTTTAACCTGAGTAATTTTTGGTCCAACAGAATTTTCTGAGTGAGTGGCTTATGTCATGCTGATACTTTCTGGGACTGGCCATGTGACTTCTAAAGACATCCGTAAGCAAGTTTTGTGCCAGAAGATAGTTCAGGCCAGGTCAGCTGGACCCCTCTGGATCTTACCTTTGTCAGAATTCCATCTTCTCGGTGGTTCTTCTGTAGGACATGTTGAAGAGCTAGCTGGATTTTCTGTTGCAGTTTTTCTATTTTTACCTTTTCCTGCAGCCAGGAGCGATCTAAACATGAACAGCTGAGACTCAGTGCCATTCCTTCAACACAGCATCAGACCCTTGTTCCTCCTGACTAAAAGCATTGGTTACTATGCTCTAATGTGTGTTTATAGTTCTGGGAGGGAGGGAGGGTGCTCTTCCTCTACATTAGGGCCAAAGTCAAAAGAATGCACACAAACCCACAATGCCCCACCCTCCCCAAGCTTTCTTGATAGTTCTTTTGCAGGCACTATCCCACCTGTCCTGCTGGCCTTCCTGGAAATGTAAAATTGCTTTTTAATCGAGGGCAACTCAAACTTTTGTCAATAGAATTTCAAATGACTACAGGGTTGTTAATTTAGGAACATCTTTGTGTGAGCATTCCAAGTAGAGGATTGTTCTCCAAGAGGCAGACCTACTGGGAAAGTAGGTTGGAGGCAGATAGAATGTGGACGGCAGAGTTTACAAAGGCATGTTGTCTTCGAGGCTGGCATCAAGAAGAGCAACCCTATTCTATGAAATCCTCTGTCTTGGTATGTGGAGTTAGTGCTGGCTAAGGTTTTATTAAGCTATAACTTCTTACAGTTTTTATCTGCATAGCATGAGGTCTCTTCCTTCCCCCTGTGTGTGTGTGTGTGTGTGTGTTTGTCCCTGTTTGTGCTTGAGAGAGGAATACAAGTGTACACACATGTTTGTAGAAACCAGAGGAAGACATTAGGTGTCTTATTCTGTTACTTTCTACTGTATTCCCCTGAGATAGAGCTTGGAGCTAGTCTGGCAGCCAGCAAATGCCATCAGTCCTCCAGGCACCTTCCTAATGCTGAGATTACTCTTACTCGTGTGTGACTGTGCCCAACCTTTTTTTTTTTTTTTTTTTTTTTTTTAAATGTGGGTGCTGAAATCTGAACTCAGGTCCTCACACTTGGGTAGCAAGTGCTCTTACCCACTGAGTCATCCCTTCAGTCCCATAAGGTCTTTAGAAAAGACCTTTGTATGTGTTTATGTAAAGAGGTTATTCTTTGAGAAACTTTAAATAAGTTTAAATGGTTACAGCACGAGAGGCCAGGGATGGCAGGCTTTTTCATTTTTGCTTCATTTCACATATGAGTTATATTCTTTCCATTATTTTAACACTTATTCATTGAAAAATCTCATGCTCTTGGGAGCTCCTCAAATATTGGATAACACATAAAAGTTCTGTGCCTTGTGAAAACATTCTTTACTTGGACATGTCAGACACTTGTATTTTGCTTGGTTTTCTTACCTGCTGACATCAGTACAAATGCAGAAAATAATGCGATTTCATCTTCAGTCAGGTGCATAGAACACAAACTCTTTCCAAATTCAAACACAAAGCTAATGAAGTCTTCACAACCTATAATTAAAATAAAGGAAGTTTAGGGTGTCAGTGGTTATCCTAGGAGAGGAATATAGAACAAGGTGAAGAGAGATGTGGACACTGGAGATGAGATGAGATAGTAAAAGCATCTCTTAGTTGAGTAGTTTGAAGTGTTAAAAGAGAAATTGGCTTAGCTAACATCACCATCACTGGTACCAACATCCTCTTGTACCACTAGCATTGTTACCATCATCACAGAGTATTATCACCACTCTCATCATCATCCTATCCACCACCATCTGCTTCACATCAAGAACACACCAATCCCATCATCATCTACAACAAGGAGAGAGAACATCTCACCTGTGATTCCTAGGCAGATAACTACTTGAACAACATTCTTAGTGTTTCCTCAGGTTTCAAAACAGCCCCATGAGGGGCATGTTATCATTAGCATTCCCATTTTAGGGCTCAGGAAACAGGGACTTAACAGAGATAGTGTACTCATGGTCACAACCTGACATTCAAAGCCAGGTTGTCTGACTTTAGAACCCTCGTTTTGAATGAACAGGGTCTAATGGCTATTGGCTAACTGCAATGCCCTATTGATACTTGGTTCCATACTGGTGGTGTAGTTATTGTAACTATTCCTCGAATTGAATTCAATGTGAAAGTCCACTAAAACAACAATTCAACTCACCCATGATAAGTTTTGTTTCTGTTGTATTAGTTTTGTCAGTTGGTTACTATTTGTAAGTGGCAGTGGGCTGTGTGCTGCCCTTAGATAAGCCTCCTGCCACTCATGGTTAAAATAAGCCATTCACCATGTCTTAGGTTCCCTTTGTTTCTCCTTAGTGGCAACATTCTGATTATTAAATTACAGAAACCCAAAAGGACTTATTTATAATGCATACGTCATTGTTTTCTTTGGATCTATTGGACTTTTCCATGTTTCCATTTCCTTTTCGTAAATGGTTACAGCACGAGAGGCCAGGGATGGTAGGCTTTTCCATTTTTGCTTCATTTCACATATGAGTTATATTCTTTCCATTATTTTAACACTTATTCATTGAAAAATCTCATTTATTGGAACTTGGAAGGGGAACAGAAAAGTCATGTAATAACTCACCCAATGACCAACCTACATCAGAGTTTACATGTGAGGTAGACAATAACTCACTCAGTGACTAACCTACAAATGAACTTGAGTTTGTATATGATGTAGACAAAGGTACTTGCTGCATAAGGACTATTTTATAGCAAATAGCTACATATAGTAAGATAGGTGTACCACCCTTTAATTTGGGTTTGTTCATTTTGTGGAACAAGAGCTTCCATTCAGCCACATCCTTGAACATGACCCCCATTTACAGAGACAACAGCGTGAGATTTCCTTACCTAAGGATTTGAAGACATCAGGGCTGGCATACTTCCCATCAAAGTACACGGTGTTGTTCTGAGAGTCAAAGGCACGGCACATCCTGATAAACACCACCTCCAGAGAGCCTGCATGGGGAATCATTTCTTAGCATTCCACCAATCTTAGTTCCTTTCTGAGGTGCTAACACAGAGGCCTTCCTGAGATGGCACAGTGGCTGAGTGCAGGGCAGCTAGTCTTATCAGTCACACCAGCCATCTGTCCAAGGGACAGAAGAAATGACGACTGGCTCACATCTCAGTGTAAAGTTTTAAAGTGGCTTGGGAAACATTATTCATATTTATTTGAACAATTAGCATAGGAATGACTCATTGAGTTCATAAATGTCTTCCCAAAGCTAAGCATTAGAGCCTGAGGGTGATGGTAAGATTTGGGATGCAAATATTCCCCAGTGTAACCTTCCTCCCAGAGGAATAGGAAAATGGAGGGAATGCTTCCTGAACATCTTTTTTTTTTTTTTAAATAAAATATATGTATATACACACACACAAACACAAATAACTTGATATGTATGGGTGTTTTGCCTCCATGTATATATGTGTGCACCATGTACGTGCCTGGTGTCTGTGGAGATCAGAAGATATTAGAATCCTTGGAAGTGTAGCTATGGATGGTGGTGAGCCTCCATGTGGGTGTTGGGAAATTGAACCTAGGTCCTCTGCAAGAGCAGCCAGTGCTCTTAACCACTGAGCCATCTCTTCAACCCCTCTGAACATATCTTTAAAATGTTTTTATAAAAAGGGTTCAGTTACTGCGAAGCAAACCCTGAGCTATTATCACTGAGAAAACGGCTTCGACACCTTCCTTAGCAAGCATTTCTTTAACAAGCGGGTGAAAACAGCTGGAAGCGACATCAGGATTCACTTGCAGAGCACATACCTGCTTTTAGAAGCACAATTTGATCATTTTGACACAGCTCCATAAATCCATCAATGCGTTTGGCAAACTCCACCACATACTGGATTGCTTCTGTAATCTTGATGGCACACAACTGCCACATCACCTCTCTCTGCTGTGAAAGAGGGAGATGCATTAACATAAGACTAGCTGGGAACCCTAGTGCAGCTAGCTTCACGCTTCCTAGTTGGTAAAAAGCTTTCTTTGGAAATGGGTTAAAAAAAGATTATAGGATTAAAAAAAAATAGCCTCTGTTATTTAGGTTATGAAAGCCTGCTTCCATATCCTTTCTGCCTCCCGAGATTCCTCCCTTACTGTTGGAAGGCAATTGAATGGGGGTGGTGAAGTTGAGGGGTAGAAAGTGAGGGGTATTATGAATATATGGGGCCAGCAGCTAAACACAAGTCAGGAGAGCAGTATACATCACTGCTGGAACTGTGGGCTCCACAGCAAGTGGAGGATTTTTTTTTAAACAGTTCATTTATTTTAGGGAGTTTAACCTATACTTTACTGGGGGCAGAGGGAAGGAAAAGGGTGTCAAGTACATTTTATTTTATCTGTACCTGCCGAGCTAGATGTTTGATGGCATCCTTGTTTCATATATTTATTCGAATTATCTTCTATTCAGAAATGACATCCAAACTCTTGAGGCTTCCCAGCCAGTAGGCATAAGTGGAGCTGAGGCAGAAGCTCTATTTCACAAGGCTTGCTGGCTCTCATTACATTGCTGGCTCTCCTTTAAGGCTTGGGTGTTGGGGGTGACTTTGAACTCAGAGGCAGACTAAGTGAGCTCGCTGTTGCTCTTCCCATCCTCCCACTCATCACAGTGTCCTGGAGCTTTTGCTTTGCTCATCTGCTCTTCCACTACACCCTGTGGTTTAAAGTTGTTTCTAACAGTATGATGGGGAACAAACCCTGGAGTTGAGTCTCATGGGGACATGGTCCTGATGCTCTCAAAGTGCAGCCATAGCCAGGGTATGATGGTTTTCTCCTCAGTGCCAGTGAAGGGGAGGATATACCACCATCATCTACATGGTCCTTTCCCAGTCCGACTTTCTACCATCACTGGCAAAAGCCACCACAGCTCTTCCCAAAGGCAAAATGGATAACTACCATTACCTTACCTTTAGCTTACCCTCCCACTTTAGTGGCCATTGATCAGTGTCATAGAGATAAAAGCAAATAGGGTCAGCACCTGCCAGGCTCATCTTTGGTCCTGAACAATTACAGCCAGACCTTCCAAAACCTCATTATTCTCCTTTTAAAATTTTTATTTTAAAAATTTTTTTAGGTAGGGGTGTGTGTGTGTGTGTGTGTGTGTGTGTGTGTGTGCATGATGAAGCTGGAGTTAACAGGTGAGCTACCTGATGTGGGTCTTGGGAATCAAATCCAGATCCTCTGGAAGAGTAGCAAGTGCTCTTAGCCACTGAACCATCTCTCCAGCATCCCAAGCCCTGTCCTTGTTCACAATCCCTAACCAACTCCTTGTTAACCTAGAAGCACACAGCATGGGGCTGATTATTTTCACCAGTTCTTAGACCTCAAAATCTTCTGTTGCATCATAATAAATCCTGGCTCATGGAGACTAGCTTTTGGAAGCTGCCTGATGTAGTCTCCCACTGGCATACAGAGGTACTTATAAAACACAATGTGTTCCTGTTGAACTGTGTCATCCACCAGCATCTGAGGAAGACAACAAAGCCTTGAGCCTGTGATCAGCGCTGGTCCTTAAGCAGAGATTAGAGATCTGGTGCAAGACAGTCTGCCTTCTGTCTGTTTGCACTCTTGAATGAATGCCTTCCTCCAACCCCCTTCTCAATGTTGTCTCAATGGGAAGAGAAATTCCTCCCACTCTACCTTGTTCTGGTAGTTCTCAATCTCCTCCTGCAGGAAGGTCTGCCATGTTATCTGCTGGAGTTCTTCCCGTAAGTACTGGCAAGTTTCCAGATGGGATTTGGATATGTTCTGTGCAAGGTGTTCTGGGGAAAAAAATGAGAGGTCACAACCATGAACAGGAACCAGTAACTCTTTTGCTCATATCATTTGCCTTAAAAAGTAACTCCTGTAAAGCACTGTGCCGACAAGTTTTGGTTTCCTTTGCATAGCTAAGCAAGCAAACTGGAGCTCTTCTGTATTTGGGCACAGTAGGATGGAGGAGGAAGGCTTTGCAAAGCCAACACTGACTGCATAAAGCGTATTGGAATCAGAGACCTTGATGACCTTGACCTTGTCTTAGGCTTTCTACCAGTGTCTGGAGATGAACACTGATTGCCTTAAGTAGGGAGGAAAATGATTGACAGCTGCTTCTTTACATTTTATGATAGCCTGACAAAAGTGGCTCTTGAAAACCCAGGATGTTATATAAATGTGTGTCTGTGTGAGTTTATATATTAAACTTTTAATTTTGCATTTGTGTACATGTTTTGAGTGTCTTCCTCAATTGCTCTCTTCCTCCCCAGTGCTGTGCTTACACCATGGCCAGGGATAGAACTCAGGTCTTCATGCTGAAATGGCAAGCACTTTATTGATTGAAACATCTCACCAGCTTTAACGGTGACAACTGGCCATTACCTTTGACTTTCTAGCAAACATCGGGACAAGCATCGCTGAGGCACACAAACAGATTATGTATTAGTTTGGTGAAAAGAGGACTGTCTGTGTCCACATCTTTCTTTGCCTTGCTACTTCTGAGATGTATGGCCCTGGCAAGTTATTTAGCCTCCCTGTGCTTTGCTCTCCTCCTTGGTAAAACGAGGAAAATAGCACCTGTTCATAGGGCTGCCATATGGAACAAATCACAATTAGAACAGGGAGCATCACATACTGATGTGATTGGTTGTTAGACTGTGTATGGTGCTTGGTATCTTGGGACCTAGAAAGACTGGAACAGGAGGACCAGGTAGACAGCTGCTAAAAATCTAGATAGGAGAGATTGTGTGTGAAGCAGGACAGTAACCCATGTTAGGGAACGAAGGATGACTCAAATGTTTAAAAAACAGGCTATGATAGTACATGTCTGTACCTTGAATTTTGGGGTGGAGGCAGGAGTACGGACATGTATTTGAGGCTAGGCTGCTCTACACATAAGGTTCTAGGTTGGCATGTCTACATAGCAAGGCCCTGCCTAAAAACATGTATTGGAAATAATTGATAGGAGTTTATCAATATCAAATGCTGAGAAATATAACCACATTCCCAGGATCTTGAGTCCAGGGCAAGGATAACAAAGAATGCAAGGCTGGTGCCAACAGTGACAGAGCCTGCTTGCTTATAAACATGCTATGTCAGCCTTCAAACAGAAGGAGACATGTTTGTCTGAAAACAGCAAGTTCACCTAAATGCAATCTGAAACCAGAGTTTCCTTGGAGACGCTAACATAATAAATCCTAACAGCCCTGTCTGGCAATACACAGGTACCAGAGCAGTCTGGATAAGTAGTACTTAAAAAAAAATATTGAATGTAAACAAAAGAAAACACTTCAAGGAGGCAGACCTGAGGAGAAGCAGAGAAGCCAGCTCATTAAGATAAAAAGAATGGGTGCTTTTGGAAAGCAGAAAATTAATGCTTAGATAAAAAGGTCTTGCTATGGAGGACAGTGTCTAGACTATACACCAAGTTGAGTGTATTTTTTAAAATGAGGCTCAGGAGGTCCTACAGGTCTCACACTCCACTCTCCCTTATGTCTTTCCAGTTATTATGGTCAACACTTGTTTCAGGTTGTCTTAACAAATGTTACTGAGAACCAGGTATGGTGCCACATGCCTGTAATCCCAGCACTTGGGAGGCTGAGACAGTTAGATTGCAATGAGTTCAAGCCCATGTAGTGAGTTCAGGGGTATGGAGTGAAAACCTGTCTCAAATTTTATCCAGAGCTGAGGACACAGCTCAGAGGCAGAGTGCTTGTTTGTCATGCTCACAACCCCGTGTTTGATCCCCAGCACTTGCAAAATGGTTCATGGACACATGGACCTAGGTGGGACTTTCACAACAGCCAATAGGGAGAGACAACGGCTAACGCAGTGCACACAGTGGGCCAGCAGGGGGCAGCAGTTACATTCTGACCAACTGTTCAGACAGGGTTTCTGATCCCAGTTCATAATAGATCTGACAAGGCTAATATTTTTAAGACCCTTCACAATTTCTAAATGTCCCTTTCAGTAAAGGAGAGTTTAATGAGGTCGCATAAAACCTAAGAAGTCAGTGAGGCTCTCAGACCAGGTAGGGGACAGTGATGTAGATCTGTTTAACCTTGGGAGTTAGGAGACAAGCTTTCTGTGCAAAGTTCATCCAATCAGGTGAGTTATTTTCCTTGCTTTGTGATACAAGTGAACCACTGCAGTACTGTCTGGGTGCCCGGTGTGCTTGATGTAGATCTGTTTAACCTTGGGAGTTAGGAGACAAGCTTTCTGTGCAGAGCTCATCCAATCAGGTGAGTTATTTTCCTTGCTTTGTGACACAAGTGAACCACTGCAGTACTGTCTGGGTGCCCGGTGTGCACTACCCACTGCCTTTGGGCAGCACGTGGCTATGGATAGCTATGGATACAGCACAATGCATTATGGTAAGCTTACTTCCAAACAAAACAAAATGGCAAGAAAATCTCCGTTTTAAACTTGTATTAGGCTGTGTGGGTTACAACATTCAAACTCCTCACAGGGAAGTCCTGACTGCTAAGATTTTCTCTCAGACTCTCAGGGTAGGATAGAACTCTAGACATCATCTGGGCTGAACACACCATATTTTTTATAGATACATCAACAATTAAAATTTACACATCACTTGCTGTGTGCAGACCCAAAGGGGTTACATCTCTTTTGAATATATACACATATATGCAAAAGATGAAGGAAAGAGACAGTACTGTCCTCATTTCTTTGGCTAGTCACCTGAGCCACTGTGGTTAAGTAATTTTCCCAGGGTGTTAGAGTTGTTCAGGGGCAGAGCTCTGATGCAGACATCATCTGACTTCAGAGTTTGTGCTAACCTTTATACACATGTGAATGCACAGGACAGATAGTTGCTGCTTGCGGGCTATGTGGCTCAGAGGGGGTTGTGCAACCAACAGCAAAGCTGGGACCACAACCCACATAAGCTGACTTCTTGTCTCACTGTACCTATTTTGTCAGCCATCTCTTGCAATAAGGCGCTAACAGTTACTGTAGCAAACCCAGCTAGCACTTTCTATAAAACAAACCTTGGTTGGTTCTCTGGAATGTATGATTCAGGCATGAATTGAATGCCAAGGGCAAGATTTCCTAGCCAAGGATGAAGACCTGTTCTGCTCAAAACACCGTGGGTATAATTCTTGAAAGATGGGATTGGCTAGTGTGTAATTTAATTTGCTTAAATTCAGATGACAAAGTTTAGCCTACAAGGAGGTCAGGAGTTTTTGTTAGAAAGGTTCATAGGGAGTAGGCTGTGAGGTAGCTATGAGGTAGCTTTGAAGAGGGGTCATCCAGTCTTCGCCACTTTTATGCCACATTTAACTTCCTTGAACTACCCTGCCATACAAATGGGATAGGGAATATCCTTTCTGGGAGAATTCTAATTTGGTTTTGAGTTTGGTTCTATTTGAGACAATTCATCCTGGAAAATGTTATAACCCATGACTCCCAGACCCTCTGGGAGGTGACCAGTGTAGGTCTGTCTGTCTAGAGACTTGAGGGCACCAGCTCAGCAATTTTTAGCCTCATTCAGGTATTTGTGCACTTTTAGCCAAAATACCATATGCGCAGGTAATGCTTTGACTTGCTCCTTTGGATCTGTTTTGGTTGAATATCTGGCAGGCAAACAGGCAGGTTCACTGTCCCTGTGGTGGAGCGGCAGCAGGCCTGGGGTGAGTCAGGTCACTGCGTGGGGACTTGTCGGCTTTCAATCAAACCCTTATTCATTTTTGAAAATTTAATTTTCATTACAGTTTTGCTACAGCCAACCAAGATTCAATGACCAAAAAAAAAAAAAAAAAAAGTTTTTTTTTTCTAGTTTTGGGGAAAGAAATTAAAAAAAAAAATGAAACCTACCTCTGCTCAGCATGACTTCTAGTTCAGAGGTGTCTCTCCTAATCAAAGGAGCAGCGGTGCACCTCTGGTGCTGCGCAGTGCTTCAAGAGCAGCCTTAACATGCCAAGCTCCCGAGGATTTAAATTTAGATCCATAAAGAGATGCTTGTGTAAAAACTGTAAAGAACATTCAAGTTGTTCTATTTGGAGATGTCTGACTGGAAATATAAATTTTTACTTGAAAGGGACGTTTTATGGGGTGTAGAGGTGGAGGCACCATCTAAAGAACACGGCCTTTATGGCTATGAACCGAGGATTTCTGTGCTCAAGTCGGACCCGCTGGCTCTTTACCGCCCCAGGTCCTAGTCGTAGCTCACTGGGCTCGGCAGCAGCTAATTGAAATACCCCAAAGGACTGTAATAACCCCGGGTGCAGAAACACCAGGAACAGCAGATCATTCGAAAACTGTAAAGGCTCATATCAAAGTTTCTCTAATAATAGCACTGTATTTAAAAAATTGATTAAATATAGCTTAGAGTGTTAGCATAACACTCATGAAGGGAAAGTTTCCATGATCTGTGCCATTGGTGTTTCTAGGTCATCATCTCTCAGGAAGCAAACAATAAGGAGGTGTGTGTTTGTTATTTTGACAAAGTGAGCCCTGTATGAAATCTCATCAGTTTTGCCACCATTTGCCATCTTCAAAACATTTTGGCAAGTTCAGAGGTAAGTCACCTCAGGCATTTACAATTCACACCAGTGCAGCAAAGCTTGACTACCTGAGGGGCCCACCACATGGGTCATCCCCCATCTGGTAGCAGTTGGTTACTGGAGTTCACAGATATTGGTCCACAGTGATTTAAAAAAAAAAAAATCTCCAAAAAGAGCTAATAAACCTATTTTTATTGTAAGTGTTCAAGTTGAGCAGAGAGACTGTGGTAGAGAGAATGGTCAACAGGCACAAGGTATCACAAGGAGCCAATTGGGGTGTGCTGCTCCATAGCAGGGTGGCTCAGATAACGGCAATGTGGACTTCCCTTTGAAAAAGCTGGAAAGGAATGTTCTCAATGCTCACTGTAAATCAATGCTAAGTGTCCCAAGTGACAGTGCTAAATGCCCTTAGTTGATTATTATACCATGTGTATAGTTGTTACATGTCAATTAAGAATATAAAAATTTTAGTAACCAATTTAAAAATACAAAAATATATCAATGGCTCAGATTTGGTTAGTGGACTCTGTATATGTGCATGACCTTAGGCACAAAGCAATACCCGCAGTGTAAGTGAATAGCTGCTCTGTCTGAGTGGCCTTCCCTTGTGCTTATGTGTTCTTTGGGATATAGGCTGCTTACATACAACCTGTCAAGTTCCTGAGCATTGCATTTACTGCAGACACCATAGCAACAATCAAACAGCAAGGCTGGCAGCAAAGGTGGAGGGGAAATCCCATCCATCAGAAGACAGTCCCTTGTACCCCTTTACTTCACAGGGCAGGCCCAGAGCAAGCCAGAGGCAGCATGCACACCCGCTATTACCTAGTTCTGCCATGGATACGGTTGGGGAAGTCTCTCCATTGGTAAAGGAGCAGTAGGGGAAGAAGCCAGATGCTGGTGTGTAGTCACATATGGGTTCAGGTTTGATCCCATTGATGTCCAGTCCCGACTGGTCTGGAGAGGGCTGGATGTCTAGGTAGAAGCTGCTGACTGCAGAGTCGGCCTTGCTGCCCTCAGGGGTGTGCCCGTCCATGTAGGTGCTGAGGTCGTCATGCAGTTCTGTCAGCCCATTGGCCGAGATGTTGTAGGTAGGCGTCAGCGGCTCAGCCTCCCCAGGCTGCTGCTGGTGGTCTCGCTGTTGCTGCTGCATCCGGTGCTTCTGCACCTCGGCATATAAGCTGTCTCTCTGCTTCTTGGACATCCGGCCAAACTTGACAGCTGGAAGAGAGAAAGCAAAGCGGACCTTGAGCCAGGCAGTGTTACCCTTTCCCAAGCTTTCAGGCTTCTAGAAAATCTCAGAGCAGGTCAGCACAAAGGCAGATCACCCACAAGCAAGGACAGGCTTCCTCATGTGTCCCCAATATACCCCAGGCAAACTTCCTATTGTTTTTTTTGCAGTCTTATCCCCTTAGACTCACTGAGGATATAATGTTTTGTTTTGTTTCCCGGCCCCCCTTTTGAGACAGGGTCTCACTGAGGAACCCAGACTGGCCTCGAACTGCTGATCATCTTGCCTCTGCCTCCTGATTGTTGGGATTACAGGCATACTCTACCAAGACTGGCTCTGAGGTGTAGTGTAATGGGTTTGTTCATTCTATGCCACGTGGTCTGGCCCAGACCCGCCTCTTACTTTGCAGCATTTGGATAGACAGACAGAGGTGCAAAGACTCATGGGGCATGCTGAAGGTAGAAGCCTCATCCTTTACTAAGTGTTCTCTTCTGTCCACAAGAACGAAGTTCTTCCTGGTTGACCAGATGGACCTGGGGCTTTATGGTGAGGCTGTCTAGAATTTGCAGAATTGTGTGTCTGAATCTGCCTGACTTCTGAGGCCTCCTGGTAGTTGTGGGCTTGTCTTTATTTTCTTTTTGGAGACGGGGTCATTTCACTGTGTGCCCAGGCTGTCTCTGAACTCCCAGGTGCAAGGGGCCATTCTCTCTGCCTCCCAAGTACCTAAGGCCCACAGCCCTGGGTATGAACTGGGTATGGTTGCTCGGAAATCATTTAGCCTCAGATGACAAAGAACAACAGAGGGCAAACCCTGTAAGCAAAGGGGCTGTGTTTGCAGCACTTCTCCTCAGGATTGGTCCTCGTATGGAAAGCTGGCAGGGTTGCAGCAGCTTGCCAGTTCACTATCTCAGGTGTTTCTCCTGAAATACTCATCTAGATCACAGGCAATGTTTTCCTGGTTTGAATTCTCCCACAGAGATTCTTTTTCCCTCCTTGCCTAGGCACTCTACACATGTAGCCTCCGCTGGAGGGAGATTTGGCTCTCCTAATTGATTGTAGTTAAATTGATTCCTGATTGGGGGGATGAACTCATTTATTTCACCATTGTCAGAGTGACATGAGGGGCAGAAGGCAGGGGAGATGAAGATGAAGTTGGGAACCGAGAGCCCACTCCACTGACCAGCTGGTGGACTCTTCTTACCAGAGGAGGAGGTCCGGTCCCTTCTACAGAGGGACAGAGTAGAACAGCAGCAACCTGGGAGCTTCCACAGCTCAGATGGGGCTGGATGCCAAACAGGCATTTAATTTTATAAAGCTCTGAATATATTTTCTTCCTCACAACAACCTATACTATTTTATGTACATACACATGAAGCCTTCCCGAAGGCATTTAATTTGGGGAGTGACAAAGAATATTTTGGAACACCCCCTGGATAAAACTTTTGGAACTCTGTGTAATTATGGTTTGGCTTTTGTCTTAATAAAATGGCAGTTGTATCCAGTGAGGGGGATAAGAAGGACCAGCACTCAGTTTTAACTTACAGGTTGATAAGAGCCATAGCCAACTGTCACTCTTATGCTGTAGGAAGACAAATTTACTGTTGGTTCTGAGATTCCTGTTTCCTAATGGCAAAAGTGTGATCCCTCTAGCAGTGCAGAGAGACTCACAGGATATGTAGTGAATATGAACCTGAGCCTGGGTGGCTCCACAGAGTCCTAAGAACTTAGCTGATGGTGGGAAGCACAGGCTGATGCTCCACCCAAGGAGATCTTTGGAGACACTCTGCTAGTGTACTTGGAAAAGTCCTTAAAGTGGACCTGCTGCACTTCCTGCCCAGTTCCATGCAGAACTGTCCCGAATCCTGGCGTCTTTTGGTGCACTTAAGATAGTTTCAGGGAAGATCGTGAGATGCTCTGTAATTGGACAGTGGCCCATTTCTAGTCCTGATGCCTTCTCTTAATGAAAAAGGACGTTTACCACCAAGCCTCACTTTGCACTACTTTCACATGTTCGGAAGGTGCAAATGTTTGACGTTGGCAGGTGATTCAGACGACCCAGTTACCGTAAGAACTATTTCCTGCTAAATGCCAGTAGACTTACTATCGTTACATCTACTTGATTTGTCCTGGCTTGGGTTTCCTGCGGGAGGCATGTTTATGAAAGCCTTCAGAAGACACATACCTGTAGTTTCTGAAATGGTGGCAACCTGAAGGTTTTCTGACTACAAGACACTTCTCTGCCTACCCCCATGAGCTAGTCAGCTGACTCCAGGAGATCGGGATAAAGGAAGTGCTGTGGATTGCATAAACCTGCCAGAGGGACCTGGGAAGGCTGAGAGGGCTTCCCCTGATGGAGCAGTACCCATTTCAGGAGTGCATGCTTGCCCAGCCCCATGCGTTTGCCCACTCCAGCTGTGAGAGGCTCACCATCACGAGACATCCCTACGGCAAGGCATTTCTGCAGTCGACAGTGCTGGCAGCGGTTTCTGCTGGTTCGGTCGATCAAACAGTTCTTCTGACGGGGACAGGAGTAGGTGGCATTGCTCTGCTGACTTCTCCTGAAAAAGCCCTGTGATTCAGTTATAAATACGGAACAGGTTAGTGTCCGTTCCAGCGGTGATACCAAAGGCCGTGGACTAAGCACTGAGCACCACTAAATTAATATTTAATGGAGGGTTAAGCTTGGAGCAGAATTGTCCAGGAGATCATTAATGAAATTAAAGTCACTTCTTTTTCTATGAGTAAAATTAACCCCCAGGGCCTAATCCTCTATCCCTTACACATGCAAAACTTCCTTTAACTTTCACCCAGTTGACTGTGTAAACGACACATGATCTGGCTGATCAAACAAAGCAGTGTGCTTGCTGGAAGGATTTGTCTTTAACCTATATCTCTAAAATACCCTTTTTTAGAGGTGTACACACAAGTGTGTATGCTGTGGAGGGCAGAAGATGACGACATGCAAAACTTCCTTTAACTTTCACCCAGTTGACTGTGTAAACGACACGTGATCTGGCTGATCAAACAAAGCAGTGTGCTTGCTGGAATGATACCAAAGGAGTTGTCTTTAACCTATATCTCTAAAATACCCTTTTTTAGTACATATATAGAGGTGTACACACAAGTGTGTATGCTGTGGAGGGCAGAAGATGACATCAGGTGTCCTGCTCTTGCTCTCACTCTCTATCTTATTCATTGAGACAGGGTCTCACTGTACCTGGGAATAGACTGTCACGTCTCAAGCCCTGCTGATCCTCCCATCTCTGTCTCCCACAGTGCTGGAGTGTCAGGTGCCCATGGCTGTGCCTGGCTTTTTGTGTGAGTGCTGGGGATTCAATGTAGGTTCTCACGCTTGTGCAGCAAGCTCTCTAACCCACAAAGGCATCTAGCTCTCCAGCCTCTGAAACACTTTCTTGGTAAAATAAACATTTCTCCAGGCTTTCCAAAGTTAAGGAAAACATGGTTCCATTCAGCTCGCTGCAGTCTGGATGTGCTACGGTATGCTCTGGTGTTGGTGTTTTCTCTCTGCCACTCGAGTCTCTGACCATTTAGGCATCTCTCATCCCTAAGTCTGAACCTGTTGGTGCAAACAGTTAGATGACACTTGGATTGACTACTTTAAAGATCAGTTGCACTGGGAATTCTCCATCCTAAATGGTTGAGAATCAGCAGTTTAGAATCATGGCCTTTAGGCTTTGACAGGTCCGGCATGGTGATCATCAGTTTCTCATTTGTGTCGAGTGCTGTCATGGAAATGAGAGGGTGTGCAAAGACATGAGGGAGCTGCTGACCCCAAGGATGTGTTTTTTTTGCTTGTGTGTTTATTAACTCCCTGATTTTCAGTATTGGGACTGAAATGTGCAAGCAAGCTTTCCTTTAGTGATTATTAGCAGGAACCCACAAGCTCCTCACAGGTACAGTATTTCCACGATCACTTACTTGAAAATGTGCTCTAATCTGCCATAGATTTTTCATGCCCTACTTAGAAGCATATTTCTTCACTTCCAAATACATAGCGGAGGCATTGAGGGCATATGTATATGCACACATATATGCATGCACATATATATCTATATAGAGATATACATACGCACACATACACACATAGACATATATTTTTTCAATGGCATTGTAAGCTGGGCAAAAAAAAAAAAAAAACCCCAAAAGAAAAGGTAAGGAATTGTTTGTGTGAAGCAGAGCCACAAGGGATATATGAGAAAGAATGGCCATCTTCAGAGCTTTCTTTAATGATAAAAACAGATGACTCCAACCAAGGGGACATTGGTGGGGCGGGGAGTAAAGAAAGGATGGAAAAGGTAATGTCAAAAACAGTGATTATATCTTCAGCCAACAGATTTTTCCAGAGGCCAATATGTCTACAGTATTAGGATTGTTAAGGACGGCTGGCCTCGAACTCACAGAGATCTGCCTGCCTCTGCCTCTCGAGTGCTGGGATTAAAGGCGTGTGCCACCAACGCTCGGTAAGTCAGGAATCTTTTAAGGAATAAGCATTAAAGGAACAACAGAAAAATGGTACAAAGATTCATCCAGAAGAAAGCTCTTGAGAGCACTAAATGCCCAAAGTGACTGACGAGTTCTAGTACATACTCACCCATTGGAGTTGGGCGACCACTGAAAATCATGTTTCAAAAATAGGGTTAATATAGAAAGGCGATAAAATGGGCTAAAGAACTAAGCCCAGGGCAATCTGGTTTGCAGGTGAGAGAGCATCATATTTGATGTAGAAGAAATGAAGGAAAATTATGCCTCCAAATGAAAAGAATTGCTGGTTTTGCCTAGTAGGCCCATGAGAGACTCTGTCTTTCTCTTTGCTTTCTTATTATTTCTCTATAGGTGGCAGGCATGCAAGGTATTCGGAATCCACTGCCATTGGTCTCATGTGCTGCTTTGGTGATGACTGGGGTCTGTGTGAGCCAAGTCACATAAGTTAGATGCATATGAGCTCAACTCTTTTAACCTGCCTTGTAGCAAGGCCAGTGTCTTTTGGAAAGCAGTCCCTTGTCAAAATATTTGAAGTCCTGTGTGAGTGTGTGTGTGTGTGTGTGTGTGTGTGTGTGTGTGTGTGTGTGTGTGTGTGGGCGCGCGCGTGTGTGCACCTGTGTGTGGTCCTTGATAAAAAGGGAATGAGCAAAAGTTTTCTTAGAATTTACCGGAAAGAAGTCAAGAAAAAATATTTTAAACATACCAAGAAGTCACCTGCATGGTTGTTCATTTCAGTCTCTGTCTGTGAGCTGAGTGTTTATCGCTTTCCTGAGACGCAGCCACTGTCCACCCCCTCTGCTTCTTTCATGGGGATTTTAAAAAGGGGTTTTATCTTATTTATTTGTGTGAAGAGTAAAGGTACTGAAGCCTCTCGAGATGGGGTGACTTGCTTAAAATCCCACATCCAGCATGACAGGAAGTCAGGAGAACACTCTTGTCCCTTTTGTTTCCCCACTTGCACAATTTGTTAAAAGAACCTTCTCCCAAGCCATTCTCACAGAGGCCCACCATTAAACGAGTGTCCCAATCCAAGGCACGCACTTATAAAGCAGCAGGACTGATCGATCGACTCTGAAATTAACATTTTCCTTTAGACTCGTTCCTTCAGTTGGACTAGGCTGCCACTACCCAGGCATCTTATCAAATCGTGGTCTCTAACTGCAGCTGGGGTAGGAGTCACATGAGGAATCCACCTCTGAAATCCATCCCCCCTTCCCTTTCTGCCCAGAAGTAGCATGTCTCCTTTGGTTATCTTCCCTACCTCACCCATATTATGGTCACTTGGGCTCATTCATAGAGTGAATGGCAATGAAACTCCAGGCAAGGTCTCAGAGTCACCCTCATTAAGGACATCTGAGGAAACCAGACCATGAATTGCAAGGACAATTGATGCAGTATTCTATGTATCTAGGGTTGGAAGAGTGGCACCAATCCTTGAGCTCACGACTGGCTTCCAAACTGTCTGCTCATATGTGGCAGTTGGGAAGGGTTTAGGCAGGCCAGCCAGCAGACACACCTCCCGTTTACCCTTGGTTGAGTCCATCAAACACATGCCTGCTTAGCAGCTGGGAGATGGCAGAGCTGAGAACCAGGAAGAGGCCACTCTCTTGGATGGAGACAACAGAGGCCCGTCTCAAGAACATATATCCTCTTCCCTTGGGGAGGGGTCCAGTGCAGCTTTCTAGGCAAAGGCTGAGGAGGCTGCCCTGACTCAGCCAAACTGAACTTCACAGTTTCAGAAAGAGTGAGGCCTTTCCCTTCTCCTGTGTGTGTTGCCTATGCATATTTTGCTCATCGAGGGCTGTCCACCTTGTTTCTTGTTTTTGAGATTGGGTCTCTCACTGGAACCTAGAACTCATGATTAGTCCAGGCCCGAGTGCCTGTCTCCACCTGTCTCCCCGTGTCTCCATGGGGATTTCAAGTGCATGCATGCAATCACACCTGGCTTTTAAGATGGGATTGAACTCAGATCCTTGTGTTTACATTGCAAATGCTTCATCAAGCTATCTCCTTAGCCCTTGCCTTCTTAAAAACAAACAAACAAACAAACAAACAAAATGCTTCAGTATTCCTTAGGGGATTTGTTTTGTTTTTGTTTTTCGAGACAGGGTTTCTCTGTGTAGCTTTGTAGATCAGGCTGGCCTCGAATTCACAGAGATCCACCTACCACTGGTGCTGGGATTAAAGGCTTGTGCCACCACCACTTGACTCCTTGGGGCATTTCTAAGCAGTTTATATGTTTAGGAAGTTATGGGGTAAAATAAGTAGAGCTTTAGAATATATAGGAGAGAGAAGAATTAGAAGTGAGAAGGAAACAGTAGAAAGCTTAGTAGGTTCCTCCTTTCTTAATGCAGAAGTAGCATGTTTCTTAGGGAGAAGCAGGAATTTGCTTGGAGGCGTCCTCGAGAAGGTCCCTCTGTGACGTGAGTTCCTGACACTGAGCAGACTGTGACAATGCTTTGAGCTTGAGTATTCGAGTCAAGGCTGGGCAAAAAAGACATTAACTACATCATTGTTCAATTTTACTAGTACCAAAAGGTATGTTAGAACACAGAGAGGTTCCATTCTAGATGTGGTGTGCTTGAGTGAAGTCACCATTATCTATTTACCTATGGTAGGAAATGCTTCAATTGTAGTTGGATCTTTCTTTGGGCCACCCACAAGATAAAGGAGACTTATTAATTATGAAAGCTTGGCCTTAGCTTAGGCTTGTTTTTAAATAGTTCTTACAACTTTAATTTACCCATTGCTATTAATCTATGTTCTGTCACATTCTGACCATCTTGCTTCCTCCATGTTTCCTTGCACACCAAGACTCATCTCCAAATTCCTATCTCTCTTCCCAGAAGTCCTGCCTATCTATTGGCTCTTCAGCTCTTTGTTAAACCAATCACAGCAATATATTTATAGTGTATAAATATTCCACAACTTTGGGTTGTGGCACACTACCACCACCTAGTGGCTATATGCTGCTACGCAGCCCTTCAAAATAAACACCAATAGGCCTTCCATGTTGGAAGGAAGTTGTGAGATTATCAGGCACTGAAGCCCTCAACAGGTGGCATGATGGAATCACCCATGCAGGTTTTAACAATGCACCATAGATCCTTTACCTTTAAGGATACAATTCATGCAAACTCACAAGTTTGAGCAATATGAAATAGTTACACCCATAATGTCCTACTAACATGACTACCTAAACATGAGCTAAATGACGGTAACAATAAGACATGCTAACATGGACAGCAGAAAGCCCAAGAGGCTTCAACTCTACACAAAGGACTATAGGCAACCAAAGAATGCTGAGAGGAGAATGGTCTTCTCCAGGGACAAGCATAATTGGTTACCCGATACTAAATAGATAGCTCCCGGAACACATACATACAAGTAACTTACAGACTGAGCAGGTTGTATTTAGGAGGTGTGTGTGTGTGTGTGTGTGTGTAAAACAGCAATTAATGAAAAAAGAGGCCACGAATGTGAAAGAATAAGGAAGGGTATATGGGGTGGTCTGCAGTGAGGAAAGGGAAGGGGAAATGATTTAGCTATATTATTATCTCAAAATAAAAAAATATGTATATAAACATTCCTGGTGTCAGTTGTACACTTGAATGTAGTGTCTTGGAGGCTAGAAGAGGGCATCTGATCCCCTGGAACTAGAGTTTTCAGGGGGTGCTAAGCCACTTGACATGGGTCCTGGAAACTGAACTCTGGTTCTCTAGGTTGCTCTAAACTGCTGAGCCATCTCCAGCCCCATGTTGCCTTGTATTTAAAGTTCATTTTTTTGAGTTTTATTTATGATACCTGCTTACTATTCTTTGGACGTATCTATTCCCTGGAACTTTTCAGAAGACATTATGGTTATATATACTGAATGTGACCATTGGGTGGGAGACTTTACTCTACTCCCTGGCTTAGGCCTGGTGCCCGGTGTTCAGGAGAAAGCTCATATCTAGACTCAAGAGCTGCATGCTAAATGTCAGGAAATTCATTCAATCCAGTGATTAAACCTATCCATCATGTAAAGACATTTATTAGTATGTGTGCTGTTGAGTATGTCGGAAGGGTGGCAACAGTTGGAGATACTAAAGTACTGGTTATTTCTTCCTGACTTTCTAGCAAAGCTGTGCCCGGGGTAGCTTGCAATACCTCATGGTGGAGTATTTCTACCATGGAAACTGGTGAGCTTGGTTGATTGCTACTGCTTTTGGTGGCTGTCTAAATTGAAAAGGTCACACAGAAAGTGACCTCAGTGCAGACTGAATGAGAGAGTATGTCATAACTATGGCCATGAACTTGGGGATAGCATAGAAAAGTGGAAGTATTCATCCAGAATTTGAAAGTTGCTAAATGATTCAGCAAAGTTGTTCACATCTTCACTGACAAAGATGTGAAGTTCCAAAATGGGTCTCTGTTGTCTCACTTTCTTATTCATATATGGAGATGAAATTATCAACCCAAATTCACATTGAAACTATAGACTTCCTTCAGCTGCATCCTCTCTCATTTCCTCCATCCAAACCTGGATACACACTCACCTAAGACCCAGAGCTGGAATCTTCCCTCCCTCTCATCCTCCTAGTGCTGGAGTCCTCTCTGCCTATCAGTCTCCCAGTGCTGGAGTCCTCCCTGCCTCTCAGTCCCTCAGTGCTAGAGTTCTCTCTGCCCATCAGTCCCCCAGTGCTGGAGTCCCCCCTGCCTCTAATCCCCCCAGTGCTGGAGTCCTCCCTGCCTCTCAGTCCCTCAGTGTTTCACCCTCATAATAACTAATGGACACCTGTCCAGGCATCTCTCTCCCAGACTCAATCCTCTTCCCAAAGTCACACACAGACTAAGCTAAACTACTATGTTCTAGTTCCCCAAATGGCCTCTGTCCCTACCGTAGCCTGGAAACTCATAATCTACTTTTATCCCCTGCCCCCCATTTTCTCTGGGACCTTCTCTGAGCCAGCCTGTCCCAGGCATATTCCTACTCTGCCTTTATCCCTCTAACTGTGTTATTTCTGTCTCAACGCCTTCTTTGTTCAAAATAGCTAATTTGTTTTCTAACTGTGTTATTTCTGTCTCAACGCCTTCTTTGTTCAAAATAGCTAACTCAGATATTTGTTGAATTTGTGGGGAGGGTGGACCCCAGTAACAGTCATATTTTGAGCATGCTTCTAGGTGCTGTGTAGGACACTTGGTTAACTGTACGTAAAGTAGCAATTTGCATATCTGTTTTATGGACATGTTTAAAGTTCAGAGAGATTTAGCTATATGGTCAAGACATCACAACAAGCAGATGACATGAGGTGCCAGATTTGGGTTCCTGATTATAGGTGCAGACTTTTTTTTTTTTTTGTGGTGGGTGTCCCAAAGGTCAACCTTGGATATCAATCTTCAAGAGCTGTGTACAGGATGTGTTATTGGGAATCAAACTTGTATAGCAAGCATTTCACTGATGAAGACATCTCCCCATTTCAGGTCACAGAAATATGAAAGGCCGGTTGAAAAAAAAAAAAAAAGGCCCCTACCTGCTTCTCAGATCTGTAGCAAAAGTTACTGATAATGATCAAATCAAGGATGACACAGGGTCTCAAATGCTGCATTTCTACATAGCTGGGGAAGCTAGTTTGCCATATCTACTTCATAAAAATCTTTGAAATACGAGGGTTATTAATGGCTTGGCCCAAGCATGTGGGCTGGATGGACACTGAACTATAGGTCGGTGGGGAGGTACTCAGGAGTCTTGCTCTTGGGGCAGGGGTGTCTCTTCCTACTTGGGGCTGCTTCTCCATGAAGCACAGGCTGCAATACTGATCGGATGTTTGGTCTTTTGACAATTTTCACGTAATGAATTGATTCCTACAGTTCATTAACATACCCACTTCCACTTCTGTGTACACATATGTCTTAATTAGCTGCTCATTGGCTGTTTAATTACAAGAAAACAGCTGACAGCTGCCTTGCGGAATTCTAATGGCAGACTCTTTGGAATGGCTACACATTTGCTTTTTGACAACCGAGATTTATTCATGACTCTGAGTTATCCTGGGTGCTCCTACGCCTGCCCAAAGCATTGCGTTTTGAAATTCAACTGAAAATTGGAAACCCAGAAGACTTTACAAGTGGGTTCTACGTCTGCCTTTTGCTTTATTTCTGGGGCTGGAAAGAGCCTCGTCCTCCATGTAAAAAGATGCCCTGTGTCCCAATTTTATTTATCCTGGGAACTTTCTTTTGGGAATGTTCAGAAGGGTGAGGATGAGTGTGGGTAGAAAGTGGAGAAGCAGGACAATGGGAGAAAGATGTTAGCTGTCAGTTTTACTCGGGGTAAAGAAAGGTTATCCATAGACTGAAGTCAGCAAGAGGAAGATGCCAAGAAAGTGTCTCCATAGACCAGGCTGGCCTCAAACTCAGAGATCCACCTGCCTCTGCCTCCTGAGTGTGTGCTGGGATTAAAGTGTTTGCTACCATGTCCTGGCTTGAGGCTCAGGTTCTTTTTTTTTTTTTTTCCCTGAGGCAGCAGCAGGGTTTCTCTGTGGCTTTGGAGGCTGTCCTGGAACTGGCCCTTGTAGACCAGGCTGGCCTCGAACTCACAGAGATCTGCCTGCCTCTGTCTCCCGAGTGCTGGGATTAAAGGCGTGTGCCACCAACGCCCAGCTGAGGCTCAGGTTCTTTAGACAGCCTCATATGTACCAGTTAGCTGGTGTACAGGTCCCCTTCCCAGGGAAACTTTCTTCCATAGATAATGACCCACCTCTTCATGGATCTATGTGTACCAATGAGCTCTGACCAGAAGCTGACCCAGGTCACTTGTTTTTGTGGCACCGGAGATTGAACCAGAAGTACTCCATCCACCTTATCACCTATACATGGCAGAATGGAAAACTTTGATGGCTGAAGTAACAGTTTCCTTCCCCAAATGTAATTTTCATTTTAAAAGGCTGAACTCTGATCCAGGACTGGGCATTTTAAAGCATTAGAAATAAAAATATTGAGTATGAAAATATTCATCTTGAAAACTAGACAGAACTAGTTAAAGCGTCGTTGCTTTTTACAATGGAATAACAACAAATAGAATTCACAAAGAGCTATTTGGGTCTAAAGGGAACATTGGTTAAGTTTCTTGCCAGCCAAGCACATACAAAGCTTCACGTACTTTGACAATTTCCTCAGAGGGAAGAAAGGGGAGAAAGGGGGGAAAGGGAAGAAAGGGGGGAAAGGGGAGAAAGGGGAGAAAAGTATCTGTTACATACTCTAAAACCTTCCTAAAGTTTTTTTTTTTCTTTCCAGAATGTGTTTATGACATGATGACTGCAAATTTCCCTGTTATTGGCTGGAAGAGGACATTTCACATGGGACACCATCCTAGCTATAAGTCATTAATGAGTCTCAGATAAATGAATCATACATGGTAAATACATGATGATGAAATGTATATACATATATATATATAATGATTTATATGTGTGTATATAATACACTCCCCTCTCCTCATTGCATATATGTAATGTGGTTTTCCCTCTTATGTCTAATTATATTGTCAGAAAGAAAATAGTCATGGTGGGATCACCTCCACCTGGTTAAGATTTGATAACTGATGACAGTGGCAGAAGTCTCTTGACTTCCCTGTAACTAGGGATAGAATTGTTACAATCAGAAACTACAATATAGAATGGTGTACCATCCATCACTGAGTAAATCACAGTCTAGTGGTTTAGTGGCCTTCATTGTGGGAAGCCACCTGAGCAGAGGAGCAGAACCAACAGCTGAAAGCCATTTCTGCACGGAGGTGTCACATGGACAGGATTTGGAAGGGATTCCAGATAATAGGATCGTAACTGCTATTAGCCTTACTGTTTTTATTTATTTTCTTCAGAATAAACACTGGGCCTTAGAATGTAGAGTGTGCTTGTGTAAATGCATTGGTACTCTGTCAATTCAGGTTTTACTGAATAGCCTGGTATCAATGAGCCTTCCAAATTGCTAAGGTACAGCACATAAGTCACCCTGAATTTCATATTTCCAGATATCGTACATCAGTCAGTTCAACACAGAGAAGCACAAGGCACAGCTGACAGACAGAGGAAGTGTTGAGTTTCTTGGGCAGAATAAAAGAACCAAGGTGGTATAAACACCTGGGTGATAACGGCATGCACAGAAGTCAGATTTGCTGAGGAACACAACAGAGCAGACACTGTAGGGTGAGAGATGCTATAGGGATGACAGAGGCCCCCAGTGCTTCTACCAAAAGGACATAGCTTTGGGGACACAGAGGCTGAAGTTGAGACAGCAGTCACAGACAGGTCATTTGCATAGCTAGGTCAGGGATTTGTATTCAGGTCCTCATCCCCGCACATGGACTGCCATTAGCCCTAGAGGTATCTCATCAGTGTGATAGATTCTGGTTCCTTGCTCTTTATTCTCCTGACACGTTGAAGGAAGGTAGCAGTAAAGCACATGTAACTGCAGTAATTATAATTGGACATCACAGTACTGACCGAACCCTGTCGTCATCACTCAGAATCTCAAGGAGTTGAATTTTTAGGAAGACTGGAAGTAAAAAATAGAAATGGCCAAGATGTCCCATAACATGAATAGAAACAACAACAACAATTAAAACAGCTTACCTTGCAGCCTTCACACGTAATGACACCATAATGGATTCCTGACGATTTGTCTCCACAGATCTTGCATGGAATAATTTCAATTTGAGCTGCAACAGAAGCATGCAACCAGTTAATTACATTTTCTTTTAAACACCTTATAAAAGCGTTCCCCGATCAGCATTTGTATAGTGAAAACTAATAACCTGCTAAACATTATCCTGCATTAACTATTCATTGCTGAACTGTGAGGGTCCCCCTAGAGCCCTGGACTAAATTATGGCTGCTCGTTATATAATAGCTTTCGGGTTATTAAAATGGGTCATTTGAGAAGGTGTTTAAGAGCCCACAAGAAGACTGGAATCAGCATTTCAAAGGCTTCCAGAACTGGAGAGTTCGCAGTTTGGGCCTCAGAGCAAAGCAGATACCAAAATGTGTCCCCTCCCACCCCATCTCATTTTCCATCATTATTTTTAAAAGGTCATAAATCTGTCTTGGCTGAGCATGTGGCTCTTGACTTGTAGAGAAAAATACACCTCAAAAAAGTCAGGTCTACTTAGGAAAATGATTCAATTCAAAATATTAATAAGTTACATATGATAGGAAGGGCTCCTTACTCAATCCTTTAAAAGAATTAATATAGTTGCCATGAGTTCAAAATTAGTTCATCTTTGTAAGCCAAACCTTTCAGCCATGAAGTTAATATCCTGTCTGAATTTAATCATGATGAATTTTGCCAAGCAGGAGAAGTTGCTTGTAAAATTTTTTTATGATAGAAATTGATTTTTATTTTTTGGTGCAGCATTGCATGTATTTTTATACAGTTGATTATTTAAAGCTGCTTGCCTCTGGAAAACCAAATGATTGAGATATGACACCAGAGTCCTGGGTAGGCATCTATTCATCTCTAAATAAACACACTGTATTTCCAGCAGAGTCAGAAAAAGCAGAATTAAGAACAGAAATATGCAGAATAGAATAGGCGGGTCAAAAAAACAATCCCACATTTAACTCATCTCTTCAATAGGACTTATATATGGATTCATAGAGACCAAGACTGATCTGCAATGATGGTGATGACTCTGTTTACCTAGAATGTTCCATTATGCTACATTTACATTCCAAAGTTTTCACCACTGGTTATCACCATAGCACATTATCTACCAAGTTACACATTCAGACAGAATAGCAAGTGTCCTAGTCAACTTCATTTTATGCAGGTATTTGTCTAGGTAGCTTTATCCCTCCCATAAAGCAAACGGTCACATCCAGGGACTCTGTTGCATGAGGTATGCCATAAACACACACACACACACACACACACACACACACAGAGAGAGAGAGAGGGGGGGGGACCTTCTCTCTTCTAATATCCAGGGATATTTCCAGTGATGTAGTGCCATATCCAAATACATGAAGTTCCTGGATTAAAACTCATTATAAACTATGCAGCCTGCTAACCCCCTTCCAAGAAAATGAACACAAGTGTTATAGTCACTTCAGCTATTCTAGAAGGAAGATCCTTGCCCTATATATTTTTTCAGCACTGCATCCCATGCTTGTTCACTCAAGATTTAGTTGTGTATGTGTGTGGGTTTGTGCATGTGACAGCAGAGCCTACCTAGGTCACCAGGTTCCCTGTAGCTGGAGTTGTCACAGGTTGAGTCACCACAGGTGCCAGGAACCCAACTCAGGTCCTTTTGGAAGAGCAGTAAGCACTCTTAACAACTGAGGCATCTCTCCTGACCAGATTTAGAGGTTGTCCAAAATCATCTGGAGGCCTACTGCCTCATAATGATGCTACTGCAACTTAGGATGTTTAGAGTTGTGTTAATAAGAATCCCATTTCCAGGCTTGCCTTGCTTGACTTCCTTTTGAAGGATATAGTATAAGGCCTCATATTGAGCTTTCCTCTCAATATCTTCACTAAAGGCATGGGAAAAGAAGTTTGCACCACCAGGCAGAGTTATGCTTAATGCTTTGCAGACAAGTGGCAGAGAGAAAGGCATCTAAAGTGTGCCCACAGTTCTAACCAGGATTTTCCCACATGCATGAACTAGTCTATAATGAGAACTGGCTGCCTACACCCTGACTTGTGAGGAAGAGAATAATTAGGTGACACTACTCAGTCCACCTATTAAACAGAATTTATCTGTGAAATAAAGACAGTCAACCAGGAGCTGCCTTCTGCCCCTGCACCACTTCAAACTATCACTGAAATGACACGAGCAGATCTCTTCACCCCCACCTCCCAGCCCAGTGTATATCAGCATTAGAACCGCTTGAGGCAGACTGAGCAGCAATCACTCATCTTCAACTTGGGCCTTTGGAGAACCATCTTCAGGGCATAGAAGTTCAATGGGTGGACCACCTGCCTTGCAAGCAGAGGACTGGAGTTCAGATCTCCAGCACCCTCTTAAATGCTTGGTGGGCATGGCAGCTAGTCTGTAATTTCAGTGCTTAGGAGGCAGAGACAGGAGAGTTTCCAGAGCAAGCTGGCTATCCAGATCAGCTGCCTTGGTGAGTGCTAGGTTCAATGCAAAGTCATGCCTCAACAGATGGAGAGTGGCTATGACAGACATACATGTAACATACATGTGCACCCACACAGATGCAAAACAACAAAATCATTTTCAGTCTGTCTTAAAGATGGGAGATATGTCCATTAGTTCTGTATAAGAATCTGAAGGTCCTGGGCAGGCTATCTAGTGAAATACTAGTAACATTACCCGAATCAAGTAGGTATGTGACCGCTGCTGCTGTTCTCAGGGGTGGACCAGGAATTAAAACCAAAAGCGGGACTTCAGAGAATATCCAAAATGCTTATAAAGGACTCCAGTAATGCTTTAAATTACATTAGTTCTGTATAAGAATCTGAAGGTCCTGGGCAGGCTATCTAGTGAAACACTAGTAACACTACCCGAATCAAGTAGGTATGTGACTGCTGCTGCTGTGCTCAGGGGTGGACCAGGAATTAAAATCAAAAGCGGGACTTCAGAGAATATCCAAAATGCTTATAAAAGACTCCAGTAATGCTTTAAATTATATACAGGGAGGTCTGGTGGTATACTCACGATAGGGGGAGGAGCTAGAAGTATTATCCCGGCCTTAACACCATCACTCATGGCCTGGATGGGGAAGGGCAGCAAATAATGACAGTGCAGACTCAGGCAGCTGGTATTGCTGGGTCGGGCTGGGGGCCTGAGTCAGGCTTTGGCACCCTTGGTCTTCAGTCTTGCATAAGTTCAGGTCTTTCAGATCTCAAGGCTATCCAAACCCAAGCTGATTGCACAAGTTTAACAGAGGCCACAAAGCTAAGAATGAGACTCACTTGTCTGTCCATGATGGGGCCATTCCCTTAGACCTTTGTTTCATCATGATGTGCTCAGCCCCAGTGGGCAATGCAGGCTAAAGAATCAGAATTAGAATAAGTGTCTCCAGGAACTTCACAGGTGGGGACTGGAAGGGTCTCTTCAGAGCAATGTTCAGCTCGTCTGTTTGGTTGGATTAAACTGCTGTGCTAGCTGTGACAAAAATGCACCTGCTCCTACAGCAAGTCCTCTGAATGTCATCTGATCACATGTGTTGACATTCCCACAGCAAACATTTGCAACTGGGAGCAAGGCACTTACTCATCTCCCCATTCAATTCCCTCAGCATGCAGAAGCCCCAGCCCTACTTACACTCAATTGACAGACTCAAATGAATCAGAGAGAAGAAAATCATAGTCAGTGCCTCTCAGATATTTCAAAGGATGGTGGCTTTGTCACATCAATTTAAGTTTTCACTTCAATAGGAAAGATAAGAATCCCTTTGCCTGGCATCTTTGTAGCATTTCCATTCTCAACCAGGAAGCACTGTCTTCCCCAGTTAGTACTCTCTCCACACAAATGGTATATC